CGCGCGCATTTCTAATTCCACGATTCCTCGCCTGCGGATGCTACGCAAAAGGCTCGAGGCCTCTGAAATTGAGCAGGTGCAACTTCATCATCATCCCTCATCATTCCTCATCATGTTCATCATCAAAACTGTGGCGCTCTTCTTTTTCATCTACGTTTCAAGTGTGCCGTTAGACCCGGCTGGACATGCAGAGGATGCGTTGTCATGATTGTCATGATAACTGCTGCTGATGCTGGGGATGCCATCAGGGTGCACCACCACAACCCCAGTGTTGTCATCAACTCGCTGGTTCGGCTTTCCTTCTTCGGAACTCCTCCGGAAAGGGGCGCCTCGGCGCCCACTGGAAGATCCTGAGGTCCAAAAGGGCGCTTCTGGCGTCCCGACACAAACGAAAAACAGATCTGCTCCTTTTCCGTGGCTCTGCCGAAGGTTCAAACTCTTTGCCAAGTAGAGAGAGGAACTCAGGGACTGGAGACTGATGTGTTCCTTGCAGGAACCATGGTTTGCAGTGAAATGAGGGGCAACGTGTCTGCCTCTGTTGTTTGATGGGTTTTCACTAGAAATGGTCAGCCCCGAACCTTTGTTGCTGTGGACCCCTCTGCAAAAAGTGCTTCGCTTGTTGTGGGCCCCCAATGCGGAAAATCCCACCTGTTTCCCCAAAAGGTTAAGTCCAAATACCCATTAAGATGTCACTTGAATCTCACAACCCCAAACCTGTCACGTGGGGAAAAAGAGTTAAAGCCCAAAGATCTGTCACCAGATAGCCCCTTTTCCACCAGGGTCAGGCCTTGCTGGCATGCTACGGCCTATCACCCTGCAGCTCGCTCAGATTGAAAGCCATCGCCTGCAATGATCAACTCAGCAGTTTCAAACGGCAAGTCTGGACAAATGAATTTAGCTGCTTCTTGGCGTTGGGAAACTCATTCGGCCTACGTAATTAGTTTCAAAAACGAGATCGATTCTGGTCCAATCCATGGATAGCGAAACGGGTACATTGGGCCGATTTAAAGGGCATCCTTAAGTGGGGATTCCACCAATGGGGGGGGGGGGGTAAAACCAACACAAGCAAACTGGCGTTGTAAGAGCTGCGATCAATGCTCAAAAGGAAGGTTCCCCCTGAAGAATTGCCATTGAAAAGCTGAATTGCATCTTTAAACAGTTGATTGAAAATTTGCAAGTCAACCAGCTACATTCCCGGAATACTCAAACACATTCATTCCAAAATAGCCTAAGTCCACCACACGAGACCTCCTATAGCATACGTACGTTTCCACGCTGCTGTACCTATAAGGAACAAACAATTCCAAAAAAACGTGCTTTCAAATCTTGAAAGCTTACTGTCAGCCACGCGCGAATCCATTCAACAGATCATTTGCGGAAGGTCAAGCCAGTGCGAGGAGATGACGGTAGCAACATGTATGCAACCGGTATCAGACAGCATTTTTTTGTGTCACAGCGATGCTTGTGCAACCCTCCCGAAAAAGCCTTTTCAGTGTCCATCGCTTGCCCCCCACCAAAGAATAAAATCCGAGGCAGGTGATTGCACCATGGCTCTTCGTGGAGTGGGGTGACTGGGCTCGCTGCTTAACAGGACCTAAGCTACATCCAAGTGTGCATGATTTGTTTTGGGGGGGGACCCTGCGGTGGACGTCATGTAGGTGGGGTGTTATGCCCACCAACCACTTTCCAGGGGGTGCCTTATTAAACTTCATGGCCAAGTGACACACATATCCCAAAAAAAACCGTTTGCACCCGTGAATTTGGCTGATGAAAGGCTTAGCAAGCCTGAGTCTTGGGGGTGACTCATATGTAGGGTGCCTTCTTTGTGCACGGGCAACCGAAGGACCGAAGGATCACCCATTTTGGAGAGGCTCCTCGAAAAGCTTTGGAGCAAACGTGGTTGAACCCGAGCCTCACCCCTTTTCCCCCAGCTCCGGGAAGCAGTTGTTCTCGAATCTCTAGACACACAAATCTCTCGTGTTCCATTCGGCTTGAAACCGGCTAGTCAACGGAACCCCTTTCATGGCGCAAGAAATTCCTTCATGTCATGTCGACCCCGCATTCATCAACCTGGTGGTTTAACTGGCCCCTGTATTTATCAACCAGTGGATGCCCGGGGTTTGCTCCTGGGCTCGCTGCAAATCCCAAGCTAGCTGCAGGCTTCAAGTTGGGCGTTCGGAGTTGAAGGTTTGGAGAACCCCTTTCCGGTTGGGAAACGAAACCAAACCTCACCTTCCATTTGCTACCGTCTCGTTTTGTGTATTCTTTGTTTTTTGCCGGGGGGGGGGGGGTCGGTCAAACGATCTCACCACCTAAAGGTGACTCTCCAATTCCTTGTTCGGATTAGCCAAGGAGGAGCCCAAGCAGCCGACCGAGGCGAGCAACAGAGGAGCCCAAACGGGGGAGCCAAGAATCAAACCGTGGAGCAACAGGAACTTCAGGCCAAGAGTCCAAAAAACAGTTCTTGTCCAAGAGCTGATGGGCCTCCAGGATCGCCAGAATCCACGTCTTGAGCGGATTGGCCGAAAAAACAAAAACTTGTCTTGTGCCACTGACATGGTCCAGCCAAAGAACAAGGTGAAAGCTCATGAACTCTGAAAAGACTCAGGAAGCGAGTGGAGGAGCTAACATTGCACACCTCCGATGCAACCAGTGGCCATGGGCAAAAGGGGCATCGTTTCTTTTATTGGTTGACTTTGAAGGGGGGACCTTCCCCAAGAAAAAGCTGCACAAAGGCTGGGCAACCAAGACACATGTCCTTCCATTTTCCTTCTGCGCTGCCGGGCGTCGAGGGAAACGAACTGAGCGAGGCTCGGGACGGCACGGCTGGAACTGAGCGAGCCACCCACGCAGTGCAGTGCCCAAAAATTCCTAGAAAGATGGGTCAAACGCCCAAACTTACACAAAATATGATTCGCATGTGTCAAAACCCAAATCGTGCCCCCAGTGAAAATCCCAATCCCAACTCAAATAGACTAAAAATGGGTGGTGCACCTACCCCGAAATGGTACCATTGGCTTTGACCCACAGCCATATGATTCGCATTCAATTCCAAAATGTGAAATATGGTCATTCAAAAGAGACCGCAGTGAAGTTGTATACAATGGGCCCATTTTAGTAAGACATCGTGAAAATGACCCGAGCTAGCTTCTGTGGTTCAAAAGGCAACCAATGGAAAGTGTGCAGCCCCTCAAATCGTCTTTTCGAAGCGCCAAATCTTAATTGCCTCTGAAGAGCAAACCCTTTCCATCCTTCGCTTCAGATGCTTCAAACACCCAAGCAATCAGGATATGTGCTTGCAGGGAAGGGAAGCAGGAACAATTTTAATTGGGTTGTTGAAATGGGGGATTAAGATCTTGCCCTCCCCCCCCCCAAAAAAAAGAAATGAAAAAACACAAAGTGGATCCCTCAGTGTAACATCTGGCAAACAAACGGAATTCTCCAATATTTGGCACCACTGAACATGCATGAGCAGCGGGCTATTGCAGCGTAGGCGTCCTTCCCGAATGCGCTTGTCCTTTTGCAACCCCGTTTCGGGGACCAACTCGGGCTCTGTGCACGAATCGGGAGCCCGACAAGCAAACGGGAAAATGGGGCCACTACACAATTCGGTTGACTAGGTTGCAATGAAGAGCCTTGACATGGCATTGTTTTCGGCTTGACGAATGGTTGGAACATTGATACCAGTGGTCTAAGGATGCCAATGTGCTTTTTGGGCCCCCTTATATATTTCGACCGGACACCCGCGCAAAGCTCACGGGTAAACCGTCCAGCGGGGACTCATTCAAAAGACTCTTCTGCTAGCAGCCTCTGGGAGTTTTGCCGTTGCCAGTCTGCTTCCGACTGGCTTCTCCAATTCTTTCCAATTCTTGCTCATGGGTCCTCTGCGGGGTATGGGGGTTGGGGGGGGGGGGTATGCTAACGTGTCCCAGCTCACCTTGACACTCCCAGCTCACCTTGACGCGTGCGAGGGCTGACGGTCTCGTTGCAAACAAAACATGCGAGGACACCTCAACATACCGACAGCGTGTGCACGACTGCGACTGTGGTACGGGGGGTGGGGGGCCGATTCTGTTCCCAGAAGAATGAAAGAGAAGTTGACAACAGGTAGTTCAAGCCAGGGCCCCAAGCCCTTTGACTTTTGGTGCCAAGAATAGAAAGGTTTAGAGAGGGCCAGAAGACCAGGTAGTGGAACCACCTATGTTCAAATCTCCCTTTTGGACTCAGAATTGATGGATTTGGGCTTTTGGCAACTTGGGAAATCTCCCGCACATAGAAACATCCGGCAGAGAGACAGCGCGGTTTCTGCGCTGGTCGCGTGTTCCGCGCTTCCCGAAAGGCTGTCAGCCAAGGTCCGGCGATGCAAATGCACCAGGCTTGGGCAGCCACGCTCAAACAACTTGCTTTTGGCTCCCTTTGAAAGCTGAGGGTCTTAGGGTCTTGTTGCTTACATAGGGCTTGCCCAGCCTGGTATCTTCGGTCTATTCAAAAATTAGGGCAACTTCAGTTCGGTTGCCCCCTGCCGCCGCCTAACACACACAAACATACGACATATATATATATATGCTTAGCCTCATCGGAGACTTGGTTTGGAGGCCAGTGGCTTCCCATACGTTCCTCTCACTCGAAAGTCAAATCCTCACGCCACCAATCCACACTTCCAACTACGGGTTGCCTGAAGATGTAAGCGAAAACACAGTGCTCGCCAATGTTCTGTGGGCTGCCTGACATTCTGCCTGGGGTTGGTCCACACAATAACTGTCCGTGGTGGCTTTCTGTCAAGGAACAAACTGGAGCGTACTTTGGAAGATACCACTTGACAGGAAAGTGCACTTGCGAATCCAAGCGAGGCCTTCTTCACAGGGTCAAATCTGTGGGCCATCGTCATGGGTCCCTCCGTCCTGCGCATGGACAAAATCTGACTGTATACCAGTTGGTACCCTCCCACCAACGAACATGGAAGTGCACAAGGGCCCTTTCCAAAAGCAAAGTAGTCTTTCTACAGGGGCCTGTGCACTTCCAGGTTAGCTGGCGGGAGGGTAGGTACTTAAATCTCTATGTCCCAACTGGTGCCCTTGTGGCTTTCGTCCACCAGGGACCCAACAGGATCCAACGGTTCCCCGAACTGTCTTCGACGTCTCACTCGCCCCAAACCACATTGTGCGGCTGCTTCGATCCCGTGGAGCACTTCGAGAACCTCGCTCGGCTGGGTCAAAGGTCATCACCAAAAAAGGGAAACGTTCAAAACTGAGATGCTAGGAAAATAGAGGCATCCTTGTTTAAAGAAAACTCTTTAACCTGATAGAAGCCACGAACCCGAATGCGGACACGAAAGCGGACTCTTGTCGCATCTTGCGTCGCGTCTCTAGTCACGTTTCTATAGTCACGTCTCTGGTCACTTCGGGTCACGTCATTGTCACGTCTCTCGTGGCAACTCTGGCCACGTCTCTCGTCATGGCTTTCGTCAAACCTTTCATCATGTGTCTCGCTGCGCCTCTCGTCACGACTCTGCCACGTCTCCCATCACGTCTTTCTTGGCGACTCCCGTCATGTCTCTTGTCATGTGAATCGTCACCCCTCAAGTCGCGTCTCTGGTCTTTTATCACTTGTCTCGCCGCGCCTGTCGTCATGACTCCATCGCGTTTTCCGCCGCGTCTGTCTTGGCGACTCTCGTCACGTCTCTTGTCACTCATGAGTCGTCGGCCCTCGCGCCACGTCTCTTGTCACATCTCTCGTCACGTCTCTGGTCCAATCTCGTCACGTCTCTCCTCGCCAGGTGGAGTATCTGGCTATTCCTCTTTTTTGTGTATAGTCACGTCTCTGGCGCGTCACGTCTCTGGTCATGCCCCTTGTCAGGTTTCTCGTAACAGCGTCTCTTGTCACGTCTCTCTTTTTTTCCTTGTCCTTGTCGCGTCTCATGTAACAACGTTTCTTGTCACATCTATCGCCACGTAGCTATAGACGTCCCTTAGCAGGTCTCTTACTTAATAACAACTCTGGCCACATCTCTCGTCATGACCTTCGTCACATCTTTCATCATCGCATCTTTCATCACGTGTCTCAAGGCGCCTCTTGTCGCGACTACGTAGCATCTCCCGTCGCGTCTTTCTTGGAGATCCTGTCGCGTGCGTCGTCACCCCTCGCATCACGTCCCTGGTCACGTCTCTTGTCACGACCCTCGCCACGTCTCTTCTCACACGTCTCTTCTCATATTTGCCGTCCCGTCTCTGGCAACCTCTCGCGTCACGATCCTCGTCACGCCTCTTGTCGCATCTCTCGTCACGTCTCTGGTCACGCCTTATCTCGCGTCTCGTCGCGACTCTCCTCGCACGTCTCTTGTCACATCCCTCACATCCATCGTCACGCCTCTGGTCACGTCTTTGGTCACGTCCTTTGTCACGTCACGACTTTCATCTTCTCTTTCATCACGTGTCTCGACGCGCCTCTCGTCACGACAACGTGCATCTCCCGTCGCGTCTTTCTTGGAGATCCTGTCGCGTGCGCCGTCACCCCTCGCATCACGTCCCTGGTCACGTCTCTTGTCACGACCCTCGCCACGTCTCTTCTCGAACGTCTCTCCTCATGTTTGCCATCCCGTCTCTGGTAACCTCTCGATCCTTGTCACGTCTCTTGTCGCATCTCTCGTCACGTCTCTGGTCACGCCTTATCTCGCGTCTCGTCGCGACTCTCCTCGCACGTCTCTTGTCAGATCCCTCACATCCATCGTCACGCCTCTGGTCACGTCTTTGGTCACGTCCTTTGTCACGTCACGACTTTCATCTTATCAATCACATCACGTGTCTCGACGCGCCTCTGGTCACGACACCGTGCATCTCCCGTCGCGTCTTTCTTGGAGATCCTGTCGCGTGCGTCGTCACCCCTCGCATCACGTCTCTGGTCACGTCTCTTGTCACGACCCTCGCCACGTCTCTTCTCGAACGTCTCTTCTCATGATTGCCATCCCGTCTCTGGTAACCTCTCGTGTCACGATCTCCGTCACGTCTCTTGTCGCATCTCTCGCCGCGTCTCTGGTCACGCCTTATCTCGCGTCTCGTCGCGACTCTCCTCGCACGTCTCTTGTCAGATCCCTCACATCCATCGTCACACCTCTGGTCACGTCTTTGGTCACGTCCTTTGTCACGTCACGACTTTCATCTTATCAATCACATCACGTGTCTCGACGCGCCTCTGGTCACGACAACGTGCATCTCCCGTCGCGTCTTTCTTGGAGATCCTGTCGCGTGCGTCGTCACCCCTCGCATCACGTCTCTGGTCACGTCTCTAGTCACGACCCTCGCCACGTCTCTTCTCAAACGTCTCTTCTCGTGTTTGCCATCCCGTCTCTGGTAACCTCTCGCGTCAGGATCCTCGTCACGGATCTTGTCGCATCTCTCGTCACGTCTCTCCTCTTCTCACATTCATCGTCACACCTCTGGTCACGTCTGTGTCACGTCTTTGGTCACGTGCTTTGTGACGTCTGTCGTAACAACTCTCGTCATCACTTCCAACACATCTCTCATCATGTCTCTCGACGCACCTCGCGTCACAACTCCGTCACATCTCCCGTTCTGCCTTTCGTGGTCTGTCTCATGTCTCTATAGCAACGACCCTACGCGCGTTTCGTGTTTCGTCACGACTTCGCGATCTCAAAATGTGCCCCGCGCCCAGCGAAAGCGATTCAGCCCACCCAACAGGGTTCACTGTGCGATCTCAACATGTGCACCGCGCCACAGCAAGATCGATTCGACCCACCGAAAGTGCGCAGAGGGTTCGCTTTGCGATGTCAAAATGCGCACCGCGCCACAGCGAGAGCGATTCGACCCACCCAAAGTTCGCAGAGGGTTCGCTTCGCATGCTCAAAAGCGCACCGCGCCACAGCGAGAGCGATTGGACCCGCCCAAAGTGCGCAGAGGGTTCGCTTCGCGTTCTCAAAATGTGCACCGCGCCACAGCGAGAGCGGACCCGCCCAAAGTGCGCAGATGTGCGCAGAGGGTTTGCTTCGCCTTCTCAAAATGTGCACCGCGCCACAGCGAGAGCGATCTCGCTGAGTCAAAGTGACGTGCCTGCCACGAAATCTACACCCAGGCGCCCAAGTACTGCGCCTGCCACGAAATGTGAACTCAAAGCTCCAAAGTGCCGCGCCTGCCACGAAATTCAACCAAAACGCTCGAAAGTGCTGCGCCTGTCACACAAAGCAAGCTTGCCACAAACTCAAAATCATCCAAACTGCTGGACCTGCCACGAAATCCAACTTTGACACGTTTACGACACGCATCGAAAACTAGCACGGGACTGTGGCGCCAGAATGATTTCAACCAATTTTGACATGTTTCAGGCTCGCCAAAACGAGCCGATTGTACGACAGGGCCAACGAAAATGACACTCGTGCAAACACTTGCACGCGCCTGCCAAGTAGGACACCTCAAAGCGACCACCCCTGAATCGCAAATCCCACTGGCACGGCAACGGGAACACGCAGCCTTCGAAAACACTGCGCCTGCGCAGCAAAACTACGTCTGACATGCTAAGAGCTACAATTCCCGCACAGGGGCACGAAAAATGACACGCTTCAAGTCATCTAAATGGCACGTTTTTTTCGGTGTTCCCACTGGAGCTGCGAACCCGACACTCGCGAACACATACGGACGCTTGAGGACGTACATTCAACGACTCGGGAAAAGATGTGTATATATACATATATATTTACATATACACAAACCAGCGTAGGCCACAAACAGGTTGTGAGAACACAATGATGCAGAGGCCAAGCTGACAACAAATGCGTGTTTTCTTGAGGGACCGCCCAACATTGTTTTCCTCTGGAACGCTTTTGCGCGGCAACAGCATCTCGAAAGCGTCTATCCCGGAAAAGGCGCAGGCCATGAAAGCTGTTGCTTCCCGGTACGCTTTTTCGTTTGGGAATTCTACACAGACTCGTATCCCTAAAAAAACCACAATGAATAAAACTGTTGCTGGGCTGGTCACATGAAGAAGACATGGCATCCGTCTCACGTTCCGACACGCAGCAAAAAACGCACAGTACCTTGATTGAGCGCCGCAAACGCTGCAAAACTGATTTATGTGCTAGCCTGGCCGGCACGCTGCGCACGCTCCAGCAAAGAAAGCTTTTACGCGCCGAGAACGCAATGAGCCAACAATGGGCGCTTTTGTGCGTCGATCGTAATAGCTTTTGTTCGCGAAAGAACACGCTTGCTCGTCAGTTTTTGTGCGCGAACAGCGTGCTCGCTTGTGCGCCGACATTGGAAACGCTTATACACCAACACGGAACATTCTTGCACACCAACAATAGCACGCTTGTGCGCCATTTATGCGCCGACAATGGATACTCTTATGTGTTAAAAAAAGAACACTCTTGTGCGCCGACGGCGGGCGCGCTTGCATAGCGAGCATGCGGCCAGGCGGTCTGGCAGCACGGGGAGACAAATGAAGCACGCGCTGGAAAACAAGTAAATGCGCACACTGGCGTGCATGCGACCCAGCGACAAAAATAAGAAACACATGAGGCCGCATACTAGGAGACCAAAAAAAAATCACACTCGCGAGAATGCAGCCGGCAATCTGGCAGCACTGGGAAACAAACTAAGGGACATACTGGAGACAAGCAAATGCGCACACTGGAGCATGCGGCCTGGCAAAGACACACACTGAGAGACAAGTAAATGCGCGCACTGGCGAGCACGCGGCCTGCGACAAAACTGAGAAACACATGAAGGCGCATACTAGGAGACAAGAACATTTTCACACTCGCCAGAACGCAGCTAGACAAATTGGGGGACATACTCGAGACAAGCAAATGCGCACACTGGCGAGCATGCGGCCTGGCAAAGGCACATGCTGGGAGACAAGTACCTGTGCACACTGGCAAGCATGCGGCCCAGCAATCTGGCAGCGCTGGGACATATGAAGGTATATACTCGGAGACAGTAGCTGCGCGCTCTGTCGAGAATGCAGCCGGCAATCTGGCAGCACTGGGAGACAAATGAAGGCACATAATGGAGACAAGTAGATGCGTACACTGGCGAGCACGCGGCCCAGCGATCTGGCAGCACTAGGAGACAAATGAAAGCAAATATTGGAAGACAAGTAAAAATGCGCGCACTGGCGAGCATGCGGCTCAGCGATCTGGCAGCACTGGGAGACAAATGAAGGCGCATACTCGGAGACAAGTAAATGCGCACACTAGCAACCAACCGGCGATCTGGCAGAACTGGGAGAGAAAAGCACATACTGGGAAGTGAATGCGCACACTGGCGAGGATGCGGCCCGGCGATCTGGCAGCACATGAAGGCGCATACGGGGAGACAAGTAAACGCGCACACTTGAGACAAGTAAATGCGCACACGGGCGAGCATGCGGCCCGGCGATCTGGCAGCAGTGGGAGACAAATGAAGGCACATACTGGGAGACAAGCAGATGCGTACACTGGCAAGCATGCGGCCTGGCGATCTGGCAGCATGCTGAGTGTTCTTTTTAGAAGGTAAGAACCCAAACAGGAAACTGTTCGGGGAAACAAGGCAAAACTTGGCACCGCTGGGCAACTGGGAAAAGGTCTGATCTGAAGCAAACAGGCGACGCTCTGCAAATTAACATGGATCATCTGTTGGGACCTTGGTGAAAATGGGGAACAAAGTGCACAAATTGGAAAAGCAAAAACTCTTTGGGCAAATAACTGGAAGCTGGACTGAACCCCAAAGAAACAACCACCAAACCGCCAAAGGTCGGCTTTTTGGAAAACCTAAAAGACTGAACTGGGAGAACTGCGCCCAGTTTAGGCGGGTGCCAAAAAGTTGGTCCGTTTCTTGTCCCTCCCTGAATCAGCTTCCCTCCAATTGGTGGAGCCCGGTGCTTTGGTGGTTAAGGAGGGGTACACCCCATTTACCCTTACAACAACCACCAACCCGTTCAAATCCAAATGCGAACCACCGGGCTCCACACCACCAACTCGGGGTTACCTGACTTAAGGCTAGCTCCTCCAGTAGAGAGGTTAGAATAAGGGTGCCAACTTTTTTCTGTGGTCTATTTTAGTAGGGGGACCCTCCCCGAAAAAAGAAACGGTAAAAGGGCACCACTGGGGGACTTAGGAGGTGAAAAGGCGACCATCCAAACGCTGCGCAGCGCCGAGGCCTTCGGTTTTGGCGCCAAGCAACTGGGAGAACTGGCGCAGTAGCACCCGTGGGGTGGTGCGGAGCTCGCTCTCTTTGTCCGGGGCAAGTTGGGACAACACCTAGCGTCAGCTGACCAGGATTGAACCTTGCTCCAGTCAATAGAAAATGAAAAGGGATGGAAAATCACTCATCACTCTCTTCTTCTACCTGCTCCATTTAGAAGTCGCCGTGCGTGAGGGAAAAGACAGTGAGAAAAGAACGGAGAGATAACAAAATCATATCCATTCCCATACAAGATATGATGAGATAATAAAATGACATGTCTTTGAGGACGTCCTCTCTCGCCACACAGTCAACTCTCCATTTCTCCTTTCCATCTGGCCATGCGCGGCTTTCCTCCATTTGCTTGAGCCCCTGCAACAAATCACAAATCATGTCCAGTACTGCAATCGATGCCCTCCAAAACCAACAGGGGAAAATCGACCATATTCTTAAGCAAATGGAAGAAACCATTTGACTGGCATGTCCTCAGATCCTCTACTAAAACTTGCTAACTTTTCGGTGGGTTCAACAAAGCTCCAACCACCAAACCAACTATAAACCAACTAAAAACCAATTAGACACCAAGTAAAAACCAAGTAAAAAGCAACTAAACACCAACTAACAACCAACCACCAAACCAACCAAAAACCAAATGCAAGCTTTGGTGAACTTCCAGTCCTTGCTCAGCTTCTTGTCCAGCTGCTTGATCTCCGCGTGCGTGGCCACTTGGTCGATGGCGCGCGCGGGGCCCTTGCACCGCATCACGCCATCGATGAACTCGTCCAAGGTCACGGTGCCGTCCCCTGAGGCTGAGGCACTGACAAATGGCCATGGGTCAAAATCCCGTACCCCCAGTGAACATCCCAATCCCCACCAAAATAGACTAAAATGGGTGGTGCGCCTACCCTTTCATGGGATCCCATTGGTTTTGACCCACAGCCAAATGACAAACTTTTATTTGCTGTTTCGCCCCTTGGAAAAAATTAGAAAATATGTCCAGCAGTGAGAGGTTCCCTTTTAAACCCGCAATGGACAATAACAAATGGTCTTAAGCAAATGGATGCAAATGATTGCACAGACACCTGCTGCATAGATGAACAAGTAGATAGAAACATAGATTGATATATATATATATGTGTGTGCTCCAGGCCGTGGACCCCCGCCCAACCTGGGGTGGGGGCGTGGGGTGGTGAGGTGGTTGGGTGGTTGGGGGGTGGTTCGGAGTTGGTTTAGGCTTGGTGGGTTGGTTTAGGGTTGGTTCAGGCTTGGTTCAGGGTTGGTTTGCGGTGGGTTTCGGGTGGGTTTGGGGTTTGGGTTGGGGTTAAGGAGGGGTTGCAGGGTGGTTGGTTTGCTGGGGTGTTGGTTCACGGGGTGAAAGGAGGAGTGTGGGACCGAAGCTGCAGGGCTCACACGGTACTGGACAGCATCCCAGCATTGCCAGCATCATCCCCAAGATGCAGATGATGCGGGGGAGTGGGGGGACCATACCATTGGGGGGGGGGGGGGGACACGTATACCACCACCGTGTGCGCGCCCACAGCCCGATCATCGCGTTCACGCTGAGCTTGGCCCTTGGACTGGTACATATATATGGCTATATATGGCTAGGCCGAGACAAAGAGATAGATAGATAGACACACAGGCAGGCAGACAAACAGACAGACGGACAGACGGACAGAGATTTGATATGTACATGAATGCAAAAATCAAGAGAACTCAGATAGATAAATAAGAGAAAAACAAATACGATAAATATGCAGGAGAGAGAAATAACAGTGGCGATCCCAAGAGAAAAGTGGGCGGGAGATATAAGCACAACATCACCAATTTAATCGTAATACATGAACATGTACATATATTCAGCGCCCTTGGGGATAGCCCTCTTGGCTACCGCTTTTGGTGGTTGCATCAGCCCGGCCATCATCGAGCAGGTGGAAGAGCGCAGTGCCCTCGTGCACGTCCAAGTCTAAAGTCTGAAAGTAGGCTTTGACCTGCGATCTAATTGGCGGCCTCACGTTCGAAAAGCCGGGGATTTGAGTAGCTTCTCAAAAGAATTATGTGTTGGCAATGGTTCGAAAATCAACGGTCATGCGCCCCCTTGGAAATGAGGTTGCAACCCTCATGGTGACGTCGGAAAGAACCACAAAAAATGCTTGCCCCATGCTGATAGATCACATGGGAGAGGGTTGCAAGAGTTCAGTCCATTTCAAAGAGCCTGCCCACTGCCACCATGTGGAAAAAAGCTTGGTTTGTGGCAGGATGGTGCAAAAATCCTCCGCGCAAGGCCGTCACATGCCGTCACCCTCCCTGCCCCCAAACGCAAAAAAGCCCTCTCACCCACGAGCACGGCGTGGTGCAAAGCATCCCTTGCCAAAAGGAAGGGTGTTGTCATCCAACAGAAACGTGCACAAACCGCTTTGCTGGCAAGGTATCCCTTTGGATGATCAAACCATGCTTGCCGGAAGCTTGGAGACGAGTACCTATTTTGAAGCGGAGGGGGGGTTACAGGGCACAGAAGCTTTCCATACGAAATTGGGCCGCGTCCCCGGTTGGCAAAATGGGAGATGGGGGCAACTTTTTTCTATGCAAACGCAGGAGACGGGTCCCCTTTTCTCCGTCATCTTACAAGCCCATACCAAAAGGTCTGGCACTGGGAGACTTAATGTGCCAAATAGCGCCCACTTCAGAGCTCGATTTGTCCCGGATCAGTGAGCTCGACCGAGCAAATGGCGGCGGGGACCCTGGTTTGGCAGTCATAGGGCTGGACAACATCCTGCATCACTTTGACACCAGAGAGAACCATTGCTTGCTGGTCCAATCATTCCAGGGTTCTTTATGGTGCGAAATGGATTTCGTCCATCCACAGTAGGGCTGGACCAAAATGCAGCGAAACATTGTGCGGAGATTCGTAGACGGTAATCCCTCGGGCCGAGTCCAATCACTAGAGTCTGGGTGGATTGGCCAGAAAACTTGGTTGCTTTCTGCTCCCCTGCTAAAAGTTTAACTTGTAGTGGTTTAATGGAAAGCCCATTAGTTGGCAAAAAGTTAAAGTCCTAACATCCAAGCAAAATGCACCGAAGAAAAGGGAAGCAAACTTGATGCTGGCCACTGGACTTCCCAAAAAGTAGAAAGTCCAGAACTTCAGAAAGCCCCCAAACGAACCCCTTTGACGGGTTCCCACCGGGATGGACGTCACAAGGTGTATGGAGGTCTTCACAAATTGAAAACATACAAGGAATGTTCGAAGTACGTTTTGAGCATTCCCTGCCCAAGAATCCTGCTTGCTTATGTTTATACTTCTTTCAGTTCTAAATATATTGTTTACTTTGTTTCGTGTATTTTAATAGCAGGGGCTGCAGGATTCAAGTGTAGTTGGTATGCTCGGAAGCGCACCCTGAGAAAGTAGCTCTCGTTTTCAGCTGGCATACGTGACCCCTCAAATCACACGGAAACCTACCGAAGGATGTGTTGGCAGTTTAGGCCCCTTCTATGAGACACAACATGTGGGTTCCCTGTATGTCTTGGGCGCTGTTTGGACATAAACGAACTGGGTGGCGGCAAACTTAGGGAGACCTCTGGTTTGGACACGTATGTTCCTGCTAGGCTTGGGGGCGATGGAGTGGGCACGAGTCGCAGCCTTCCTAGCGGCATTCAGCCGTTCGAGCCTGGTGGAAGCTAGCCACGGTCAATGCTTCACATTCCCGCAAAAAAAACACATATAAGTACATATATAGAGAGAGAGAGAGAGAGAGACATAAGCAGGGAAGTATGCTTTTATTAAGGTATGTGCAGCATTCATTAGACAAATGATCCCTTTGGGGGAGATAAAGCATATGAGCTGGGCTGTTCAAAGTACGAGTAGAAGGCCCAATCCTAATCCACAATCCCAATGGGAAACCACCACAAAGGGCACCTATTCCTTGAGTAAAGATAGCAACGGTAAGGATGTGGCGGATTGCAGTTGAACAGCCTGGATATCTACAGTGTTTCTGTTCGTTGAGGCTACCCTGTGCAGTTGTTGTTTGGCTGCATGAAACAAAAAGTAACCACCCAAACAAAATGGGTACAGCGGGTTTTTGCTCGTTGAGGCTACCTTTTAAAGGCTGGCTTCTTAGCCACAAAGACATCCATCCACCGCCCAAAACCCCATGGGCCCACGCATAGGGGTCCTTCTGGAAAAATAGGTGGCCCTGGCAAATGGAATCAATTCACAAAGCCAGTGCCTTCTACTTTTAACCAAACTAGCCTAAAAAGGACGCCTATGGGCCCACGAAGCCAGACGACACCAGGCGAAGCCAACCGCCCCCAGCCGCCTTGGGCGACTGCAGGACCTCTGCGAGGCGCTCCTCGGTGATGAGGCCCTCCCCCACCGTGATGGCCAGAAAGACGTCCTGACGCAGCTCGTTTCGCTCGTTCGGTGCGTTGGGCTCGGTGGCTTGGGCTCGGTGACATTTTTCTGGGTGAATAAAAATATTTCACCCAACCATATGGGTTGAATATGCGCAGCGGAGCTTCGGGGCCATGGGATCAGGTTTCGAGGGAAATGGATCTGCTGGATGGGCGCGAAATAAGGTGGCTGGAGGGAGATTACCCCACATAAACCACCATTTGGGATGAGCTCGTGCGAGGTTGTTAGAATTCATCTGATATGGCGCTACCAGGGGTCATCTTTAGCGAAAGAAGTCCTGACCAAATCCGCGGGTGGCGGTCAGAAAAAGTCGCCCGAGGCACTTTGAGGCCAAAGGAAACGCGTGGCGAGATTTTGACACCCGAAACCTTGTCTGAGCGGACAGCGTCTGGTTTTTGCAGCCACCAAAATGAACAGAGCCGAAGAATACAACCCCACACACCCTGATGGTTGAAAGTGGCGCAATTCCATGTCCCTTTCGGTCCACAAGAACCAGGGGTTCAATCCCAAACCACCAATCCAAAGAAAAGATAATGATGAATTAAATGATGCAATATTATTAGAGGATTATAAACATTTACATCCTGTATTAACAAAATTATATTAAGTATGAATGAATTGGAATTTCAACAATTAAAAAAAGTGAAAAATGATAATGATATTAATACAAATGTTAATACCATGCGGAAATTTGTGTCCCGCCCCCTGGTAAACTCCAAATAACAGCAAAGAAGCCCCAGGTCAATGACAAATGCCCCAAACATAGGTCCCTGCCTCCTGACATGGCACGTGACAGAGGGTCCCTCCAAACCTACCTGCCTCGCATGCAACCAACAAACTCGCCGGAAACGAACAAATCGGCCACTTGTGATGCCAAGCCCTTGAAATCAACGCCGGGATGTTGAGGTGTGTATGTATCTGTGTCTGCGTCTGTGTGTGCGTGTGTCTGTTTTGAGGATGCCCTTTTCAACTTGTTTTACATTGAAGCCGACACGATACCCGCCCATTTCCCTCCATTTGCTTAAGTCCTCAGGAAAAAATAACAATAATTCCAGTAGTGATAGATTCCTTTTAAACCAACAGGGGAAACAACACTTGACCAAATGGAAGGTTTGGAGCTCCCACTCCTCGAAAACTGCCAGACCCGATTTGGACTTTGAGGTGGCCCCTGTGTTGGGCCTAAGGATCGGCCTATGGGCCGATAGGATGCATCCGAGACCTAGCTGCTTAGAGGATTTGGAGCCTCTAACACGGCTTGGGTGATGAAAAGTAAGCCAACCCAGTTTTGGCAAGAGGCCCCCTTTTTTGGCGATTTTGAAAAAGAAGATGACATGGCACCTGTGGAGAGGTGCCTGAACATCAATTTCCTCTTGCAGAACCTGCAAATGGACTGGACGAAATCTGTGGGGCAACTTGCTTGCCCACTTACTCGTGAGACTCATTTTCATGCAAAGTTTGCGGCACTTGGGCTGCCAAATTGTGAAGGACAGGTTGCTTTGCGGCCCACCAGCAGCCGGCTTGCAAAGCACCCGGAAAAACACTTGATTTGTGTTGGCCAAAACTGTCTAAACAAAAGGGCAAATTTGGACAATTTGGTTTCCTGAAAGCTTGTTCAAGGGCGAGGGGTTTATTCGCAGATGCGCCGGGCGATGTCAGTTGAGGGCTTCTATCGAGCGCGCGGCATGGGGATGGCTTGTATAGATTCAAGGGTTACCGGTTTGGGGCCCAAAAGGAAACAACAAACCGTCCAAGTGCGCTGCTCGCACATTTTCACGCTTGAACAGCCACACTGCGGATGCAACGGATGTAAAACCCCATATTGACCGATCAAATTCTTCACCCCCCTCTGCGTGTTAAAGGGGCCTTTCACAAAGCAGCCAAACAGTAACACAACAGAGGGAGAAGGTCAGGGGAACCGTTGCTCACATGCAAACCATGACAGTTGCACTTTTAGCGCCACTGCCAAGTTGAGTAGTTACCGCTACTGTTGTCCCATCCGCTCCATCCGGACCAATTCTGCCAGCTGCCTTGGCTCCAATGCTCACCCTCGCGGGCGGCGGGAGCACTTGTCTCGGCATAGCGAGCGGCGTTGCGAGCGAGGTGTTTGCTGCTCTCGTTAATCGAAAATTCGATCGAGTTGCGTGCATACCGCTCATTCTGGCTGAAAATCCAGTCCATCTCGTTGCGGAGGTTGTCCAACGTGTTGCTTCGCAAATGGATGATGCCATTCCAACAACCAATGCTGCGAGGCTTGTCTTGCTCAAAGACCACGTTGATGAAAGCTCTTGGGCTATAAGGCATCCCTTGGAACATAATGATCCAACGAGAGGTAAGCGCATCTTGAAGCTCGTTGGGCAAGAACTCCAACTCTGTCTTGATGTACGCGAGCCTTGCGATTCGCGACTCCGAAGTTGATCCAAGGCCAACTCCCAGAGTGCGCTGGGCTTGCGACTGCTTTGGAGCATGTCCGCCTCCCGACGGCCCACCTCAAGCATACGAACCCTGTATTGGAGGTCGAGTTCATAGCGATCAAGCAGAGAGTGGTAGCCGTTCTTCAGGGCGGACTTGAGCTTCTTCCGTGCCTCCTGAATAACAGCACTGTCCGGGGAGTTCAAGCCACGAATGATGCTGCTTCGATCCTCCTCGCGGAGGTCAAATGTTCCCACGGATGCCAAGACCTGAGCTGTGACGTGGGTGCTGAGGCCCATCTTCTTCAACAGATTGGACCGCTGCACAATGTAATTCTTCTGTTGCTCTTTCAGCAGGCGTGGATTGAGGGGAGACAACTGCCCACATGATGCGCAGTGCACCTGCCCCTCGAAGACACTGTTGTTGCAAACCGGGCACGTGGCGACATTCAGCTCAACGTTCTCCATTGGGTTGAAAGTCTTCTGTCTCTTCGCTTCCCCTTGCGGGGCGCGAGGAGAAGCCACATTTGTGCGGGTTGTAGCAATACGTTCCAGCGCTGTAGAGCGATCATCAACCACGGCTTGGTCGCGCTTCATCCCCTGGGATTCATCCTCAGTCGCCTCAGTTGGTGCACCTGCATCCGATTGCTCGGAGCGAGTGTACCATACATCGCCATTTGTAGCGTCCAATACAGAAATAATCGTGTAGTTGGGCACCTTGTCGCGCGTGAGGACGCCGTCGCTCTCCGTCTTGAAAAAGCAAAGCCCTGCGCGAATGGCCATCCTGAGGTCGATCTGTATTTCCAGGGGTTTGTTCGCACGCACACCTGAGATGTAATTTTCATTTGTGCTCGGAATGTCAGCGAAGAAAACGTGAGGTCTGCCTGTCTCGTGCTGGTCCCCTCCTCCTGGAAGCAGTCCGTTCCGCATGATGTTAGCGAAGTTACGCTTATCAGTGCGGTGATAAAGCACCGTAGGAGGGCTGCTGCAAACGTTCCAGCCAGACCAGCGCCCGAGGTCGGTCCCCGGGTTCACGTACCACTCCTTCGCGATGCCGGAGTCGTCGATCTGGAGCCAGTCCTCATGGCCTTGAGAGGCCTTCAGCTTGAAAAGCCAATGAGAACATGGAACGTCTCCGCACCGGCTTGCGTCCGGGCAACCAAGCGCAATGAACCTCTGCTTTTTGTCCAGCTTGAAGATGTCCATGATATTCTGCATGTTCCATGGAATGGGATGTCGCAGCTCCTTGCGAAGCGCGAGTCCCAGGTCTTCGAGGTCCATGTAGCCGTCCTCATCCATCACATACCCGCATCCTTCTGTTCCACGACCACGGAGGATCTTGGAGATGCACGTCAGGGAACGATGGTATTCGTCACTGATTCTCCTGACGGAAGGGTCGTAATCAAAGGAGGGCTGCTTGATGATGTCGAGTCTCTTGGGGCCCTCACCGTAGTCGACATACTTCACGCCATCATGAATGCTATACACCCAGCAGTCATAGTGGCCCCCAGTCACGCTCCTCCCGTAGGAGTCGAGTGGTACCGGCCTGCTCGCCTCCTCGTCCCTTTTTGCCACCGCAGCCGCCTTTGCACCGGCTTGCGCCGGGCGAACACTTTCGGAAACATCAGCACCGGAAGGCTCACCTGTAGTTGCAAACTCGGCTGGGTTGACGGGGGCGAAATCGAGGGGCTGCCGGACTTCCACTTCTTCACGGGTGAAAGGGAGCCCGATCATCTCTGACAAAGAAACACCGCACTTCGTTAGCGTCTCCTTGCAGTACGCGAGAACCTCAACGTTGACTGTGCAATCTTCTTGGTGGCGCACCTCGATCACATCGATCGGACGCATGGTGCAATCATGCGAACGTGTCAGCTCGGCTACGCTGCCCATTGCGGGGCGCAAGATAGAAAGCATATACAACATGTGATGGGTTCCGCGCATGAACTGGACGGTCTTCGTGATGTTGTCGTCACTGAAGCACATATGATACCTGTCCAGCAAATCGATGGTCTCGACAAAGGGTGTAGCATCTACGTACACAAACATATGATTGGGGTCGCCGATGATGTAATCCCGGACTTCCGTCATGAAACGGTCCCAAATCATAGAGAAACCGTAGAGATAGCTTTTCGCGCCGGTCATGACTCCAAGGCATGCGCAGCCCTTGCGGGCCGCGAAGTCCCTGGTCCAAGCCAGGTGCCGTTTGGAGTCAGCAAGAAGTTGACCGAACTCGCCGGTGGGGGCATCAAATGGATATGTACCAGTGGGCTCGAGGCCGTCCTTCCCAACGAGCTCGTTGCCATTCCAGTAAATCAACGGAATGATGGTGGCTGCTGGGTAGTCGGTACGCACCTCGTCGATGAGGGCGGCCAACCGCTTGCACAGCTGTTGTAAGCCCTTGCCCCAAAGCATTTCTGACCTCCATGCACCGACACGCGCCGGGCGAGAAGCATCCAAACGCTCCGCAAAGTCATACTTGCGAAGCTTTTTCTTCTTGCCCGAAACCATGGACAGTCCTGAATCAGCGACAGTCACATAGATAAGGAGGTCGCGATCTGGTACACGTGGGGCCTGC